GGTTATCATAAACATTTCCATCGCATTTGAATGCATACAAACAGTGGGGAATTAACGATCTCCCAAGGAGTGAAACCCACACCCAAGACCATCATGAGTACCTGCTGTCTCTGAACAATCAAATGGGCTAATTCAAGCTTGATACTCTAAATCAAAATGATGAGTTTATATTTGTGAATAAACAAAAGTGAAAACGCTTTTCCAGAGAGACTCATTTTTCAAGTCAACACTTGCCAAATACTTACCGCCTCATTACGAATTTAATTTATTAGAGGAACGTGATCTCTTTCATTGATCCTTCATCCACACATGAACAATAGATTTTGAACGTTGTTTCTGCTCCTTAGTGTGCTTATCAAAGAGGGATTTCCTATGCCCAAACAAACAACGAACGTGAACAAACATGAATTAGCAATTTGTTCCAGTCATGGTATGAGCTGGTTGGCACGGTGGTGGGCAATGATTACAGACAACTTTGCAGGTACCTCTGGGTATTTCAACTTAAACAGATTTTATTGCGTTGGGACGAAGATCAATGCCGTTCGTCACAAGATAAACCCGGCTACATACTTGCTAATTCTATGAACAAAATCAAACAACTTTACAACACATCCTACCCAAATTAGGGTGACTGCGAATCTGTACTAATCTCGCGGAAATAAATCAATGATATTGCGTCATACGGCAATACTCACTCTCTCCGTCCATCTGGTCTGTAGCCTATGGCCGGTTGAACATTGCTCACTATGTACCTCATTAGTACATGTGTTTTCTTAAATAGGTCAATGTTATTTTCAGTCACATATAAGCAGCAGAGTTGAACTTGTAAATTGACTCGTGACTTGTGACTTGTGATCAACGCCATTAAAATCCCGTACTGCTGAAGCCTTGTCTTCCATCTCGTGTTTTGAGAGGCCCGAGAGATCGATAGCCCACCGTGCGTCCTATGTTTCACCTAGGTAGCTTCTCCTCCTACAACTATCGTCCGTTTACGGACTTCGTGCTAGTCGGCTGTTCCCGTGTCTCCGTGTGCTACTATTGTTACTGTGCTACATCTTGTGTTCTTTGCACTTGTGGTATTCACCTGTGATATAATGGTGTGTGACCTAATAGTAAGCAAAGGATATATGCGGCGCAAAATATAACAATTTGGCGACATAACACATTGGATGCGGGCTGATCTCGTTCCCGGGAGTCTGTGACGCCCCCGAAACCAAGTATGAATTTAGATGTAAGCTTAATTATTATTACCGGGGTAGGAAGTGCGTTGTTCTACCGCTAATAGAATAGTTGCATGTGTATCGAAACGTTAAGTGCGGATTCCAAGGACCTTCACACCGTTATTACTGTAAAACCATTGCATGCGCATTTAATTAACCACTGTTCTCAAAGTACTTTGCCAGTCTGGTAATTTGTTTTCAAACTGTCCGCATTTCAGATCGAAAAATGTTTTCATTAATATGCAGAAATTCAGCTCAGCTTTGTACACGCGCGAGTCATAAGTCTAACAGTTCATCTCTATTTGATTCAATGATACACTCACCCAAAATGATTGGAGCTGTGAATAGGGAACAAACGAAATGTAGACCGATTTACAGGTGGCTCGATCTAAACGCATTGAACCAGTTCAAAAACAAGACAATAAAAACCAAACTGGGGAATATTAACATTGAAATCTGTACCGCGGGTAATCTTAAACGTTTTTAGTAGACTCATCCAGACCGATTATTTCAACACAACATTAGAGGGCCCGAAATATATCACGGATTGTTGTGGTCCCCCATCTATCTATCTATTCCAAAAATGATGGGACGTGATTCAGGTTGATAGATGGCATCTAAAGTAACCAGCCATTTATCTAATAACTGACCACATTTCTGGTCATAGGCAAACTGCTGGCTTTACCTATTCAAAGGGACAAAGCATGTGGTCGGCAAGGTGATCTGTCGGATCGAACTCCATGGTTCCGTAAAGGGGTACCAACCGGTACGCAGTAAACGTCACTTGACGGAACGCAAACTAGGTCAGTCGGCCTCGGTGGGTGCTTTAATTACTTCGAACTCATCCGCACCTTCCGAACACTGGTACGCGTCCTCACAAATTCCGCATAAATTGCCTAATATTTCTTCTCTTTACTTACTGACATGATGGGAATTCAGTAACCCACAATCCGCTGAACAATGAGTTTCATATCGCCTAAACAAGCTTTCCGATCCCAGGGTGAACAACCAGTAAGTCAGGTACAGTCCAAGCTAATGTGTTGCCAGTCGGTCTCGTTTCTATTAGTACCAATCAACTAGGGGACTACCACACTAACGCATCTTGGCATTGTACGAACAAACTAACGGCTCATATTCAACACGTTTGGATGTGCACAGAAAATTATTAATCATTTAATCCAGACAATTGCTCTCGTAACCTAGGAAAGGAATATTTGACAGATGCTTCGTGGAAGTAGGCTAAACCCCAGAGGATAGGGCACAAAAGATGTATGAGGCCTCGTAACCCGTAATAGCATCAATCTGAGATAAATATCAGAAATAAAATCACAAGTTTCATTTGACGAAATTGGAAAAATCTTCACAAATGGTTCTCATAACTTATGCTTGAGTATTTCGGAAAGCATGTACGTTCAGAATTATACCTCACTAACCTTCAACCACTAAATTATATTTCATCAAAGTGGAGATTTCTTCATTGGCGATTGCCTCCAATCTCGAAATGGCAACATCGAAATTCGTTACATCAAACCGTAGTCTTACGTTCATCGTGAACGGTTCTAATCCCGAATTCTCCATCACATGGACGTGTATCAATTGGTACCATTGTGTTGTCTTTCTTGCCGTATTAATCGCCTTGAAATTTTTATAATGAACAAAAAGAATGCTGCTGAAGAAGTTGATTAATACTACGAATGAAGTTGTGCCTGTTGAATACTCACATGCCACCCGTGAAAACAATTATCCAGTCACTGAATTCCTGCATTGTTATCCGATGATTTTTTATGAGGGAAATGAACGACTTGAAGTTTAATGAATTCGTAGTTTAAAAATGAGACGTGAGCTAAACACTTAGGAAGCACTGGACAACAGTTTCGATCTGGTTTGGTCTCATCAACAGTACGAATTCATTGACCCAACTGAGGATCGAATACGGAACCCCATAGGTAGAATGCAAGCATACTACCCATAGAAGTCCGAATCAGGCGCTGTTTAAGCAAGTGCGTAGCAGGTGGCCACTCATTTCACGTTTTTGAGTCCGTGTTTTCCAACTTGCATTTGAGCTGATAATTGATCACATGATTTCCCCCCCCCCCGTGAAATCCATTTGAGCACTTCAGTCTCAATAGTTTCGGCATATCAAGTTCATGAGTGTATGGTTGGATAGCAGATGGCGATCGGCGTCAGACCTTTAGGAAATCGAGTTTCTTGCGATGTCTGAACAGAAGCTCGGTGCTTGGAAAATCGTTAGAAATAAAGAGATGAATTGTAAGCTTTGGAGTGGGAATTTGGGTGCATTTCACATAAAAGGGACGCAACTTTTGTTCCATGATGCCACGTATACAACGACCGAATATGAAACTGGACAACTGTTCCATCCTTGTTGAAATCGGTCAGCATTGCTTACTATCTTTTGGTCACGTCCGAGACTCCAACGGTGCACTTGGGACTCCAAACCCAAGGTCAAACTCGAGGTCACAGATTCCTAGTCCGTAGTTCCGTTTTTTGATGTTATTGTTATTGTCGTTGTTGTTATTTTTGTTGTTGTTGTTGTTGTTGTTACTCTTCATTGTCTTCCTCTCTTCCTTCTCTATAACGCCGCGGTGTCATATAGGCGAGTTTTCATAACGATGTGAGTTAAAATAGAATCTGGGTCGTCTGTTGATAAACGAGATTTGTACGAAAACGTATTTATTCAAGTGTAAAATTAGTCTAGTCACTTTAAGGAGTTCATGTGGAAGGGCACCTGTCAAACTTTCGAATATGTATTACCCGAAAACAAAAACGTTAAAAATGAGAAAAACGAATCTCAGATTGTAATCACTCAAAACATCTTAGAAACTTTGTCTACCGGGGTAGCAGAATAACTTGCTAACATAAGTTTGTCATCACATCTGGGTGTAATATATCATGTTTCCCTTGCATCACCCTGGCTTTGATGGAAGAACAACGTGTTGAATTTTTAACTAAGGTAAGGAACTGTAACCTAACTGCCATAGGTATTTGATTGACAATACACAAGTCAGGCATTGGACACATTATAGCCTAGGGTTTCGGAGTTCAAATCCCTGACGGATCGATGCGCATGCGTTACTGACAAGTTTCAATAAGAGCAAAATACGTGTCTGAACAAAGAATTGTGCATGAAAATGCAGTGTGAAGCACAGTCATCCCAAATCAACATAACCAGTGACATTTCACCGCACACCATGAGTCATGTGCGGAATACACCTTATGCTGATCGGAATTTCCGTTTCCCGTCAGCTGTACCCAGCCAGTGTGGGAATTTTTTCTGTAACTGTCAAGATGAGCAATGAATTACGTGAAAACAGAGTCTTATTAGAACGTAAAACAGCACACTGTATGAACAGCGCCACAAATTAGCGTGAAAAGTGCCGGTCCGTAATAACACCAGGAAATGCTCACAGCCAGTAGAAGTAGATTCGAAATAATGAAAATAACTGTGTTTATACAATTCGCGTTAGACACGAATGAATACTTCTGCCGTATATAGTAGCGCACACATTTGAATGATTGCTCAGGGGAACGTGTAACTGGCTCTTATTTCATACGGATCTCACAATGATATCCGAGCAGAAAATATCTACACATGTTCATTAGTGCTGATGAACTATATTATTAATGTAATATATCGTAATACAGATTTCATGGAACCGTCAATTCCAACCAAAAATAGTCATATAAAAATGCACCACATATGAACATCCACAAATTTTCCTTGTTGTAAAAATGTGCGCGTGGAGCACTTTACTGAAATGCTTAACATACATAATTTTGCATTCGTTCTTTGAATTTCGTCGGATCCTTTTTTTCTTCTCCCATATCCACATATGACACTGTCGCTCGAATGGCTGCAGGGCGAAATATATTGATGAATGAGCAAATCATGTGATGCCCGCAACGAGCTCCGTAGAGAAAAGTTGTATTATATATGACATATATGAACAATACAAAACGGTCTGATCAGTAGTTCAGTGCTCATGTGGGGCAGGTAGTGTGCTTAAGTTCTACCTGCGCTCAGGTTCCGGATTCGCGATATTCACCTTAATAGGTGGATTCATGTGCTACGAATGAGACGCGGCTAACTGTCCAGTGCATTTGAGCTTCTCCATTCCGAACTCATTTGCTGTGCGTATGAAATTAAATTCACCACACGTTCAGAAGACAAGCACTGGTGTGGTCGGCGGGGACAAACAGGGAGCTCAAGCGTTTTCGCTCCTCTAAAGTGATCAGCTGAACAGGCTTCTTATTACAAAATCATAAATTTTCGGAACGGAACTTTGCTTGCCTTTCTAGACTAAAAATGAGCGAATAATCAGTCCTTGGGGAAAATTGCGAACTGCTAAAAAAGACATCAGTCAGTACAGAATGTAACGCGTGGTTGAGTTGCTCATCCAGTTTGACAAATTAATTGTGAATACACCAGCACAAAAATTAGGGCAGTCATTCCAATCATGAATATTTGACCACGGCAACCCATAATTCACATTTCAATTTAGAACAATCTATGCATGCTGTTTGGTACAGGCCGTCAATCCAGAGAAGTTAAGTCAAATCAAGAAACATTTTATGCACCCAAAGGGTGCATTCATAGCAATTAGCGAACTGAAACCGTTAAGACCGAATTCGAACAACGACGCTATTCACGGTAATTTAGGGCCCGTAACCCAACACACAAAACAGTATGCGGATCGGAATCGGGCTAACGATATAATGAATGATCGTGAGAGTACATCAATCGATTAAATGATGACGGACAATTAGGTCAAGCTTGAGCATGGACAAAACGGATTGGAGGAGTATTAGTCCGTGTCTGGCGTGAACAACTGTGTCGCGTGACTGAACGATCAATGGGAACTGATAGACGAATGCGTACGTAGCAGAAACAAATTGCGATCAATAAAATATAATGTTAGAAAATTTATACTGTGATGAATTAGAAAAGTAAACTATAGTCGTAGTCTTTTCCCCAGGTGTCTTACGATTAAACAACAGCCCAGAAAGTTATAGAATTAAACTGTTTCTATAAGTGGAAGTAGCCGCAGGAAGGAGCGAGTTTTAGTATTCGACAAAATTGGCATGATTTCTCGGTTCAAACAGTGCTCTTAAACACGTGTTATCCTGTCGATAAAAGTAGCAAAAGCGCCAAATAAGTACATCAACTCCACCTTAACGGGACAAAAGTTTAAGGGATCTCGAAAAAAAGTAAAATCATTTTTTAAGTTAGGGGATTAGTATAGCCAGTGTGGAAGGATGTAGATAATCACGAATTGGAGAATAAGATTATGTGGGACAGTTATTTTTTGAGCCCGTAAGCACAATTGACGGTTTTAGAATTTTTGTAAAAACGCTCATGACATGATCAGGTCAGAACAGGTTATGGTTGAGGGTACCGGTAAGGTATTTAACGAAAACAGAACGAAAGATGTTTTGATCATTAACTGTAAGATCAAGGAGATTGATTACCAGTGAAAGATAATGGGTGCCGGCTTTATGACTAAATGGAACGTCAATGTTATTATTGCAGTTAATAACAAAGGACCAGGATAGTGAAGCTCATTAGGGCCGTCCTGGAGAGGCCAAAAGTTGTCTGAACCAAGGGAAGGACAAACAATTATAATGTCATCAGCATACTTGTAAGCAATAAATTTACTGCGAATGGGGAGATTCTGTGTGTACTTGGAAAATAAAAGCAGAAAAACGACCACATGACAAACACACGAAAAACACCAGCATCATTGGTAATAGAAGACGACTGTGTGCCATTAAATGGAGTAAACTCGATCCTACGAGCGAAGTAGTCGATCAGAATATTCAAGGCGTCAGGTGACAGACCACACTCAGAAGAAAGTTCATTAAGCACTCTTCGGTTGAGAGAACTGAAAGAGTTTGCATAATCTAGAAATGTCTGACAAGCGGTACCTGTACCCTTGTCTGAGATGGATGCAACAGAGGGAATAATCTTGGTAAGGCGTGTAGTATGGCCAGATGTGATTTATAGGTTAACTGTAAAGGATTAGGGGAGTTTCATGCGGGTATTATGGGGTGCAACAAAACGTTTTCAAAAGGTTTCAGTAACACAGATGTGCAGACAATCGGACGGCACTTTGACGATCCGTTCTTCAAGGTTAGTTTAATACGAGTTGATCTATGACAATTGGGGATCGTTCCGGATAACAAACACATACGAAATGATTCAGTAATAGATGTTACAATCCAAACGACGAATGTTTTTAGCAAACATGATGCTAATTGGTCGAGTTTTGTTGATATTGCGTCCGGTCAAGACCTGGAGAACTAAGTCCTTCGGGTTTATTACATCATTGGTTAAAAGTGGATGTGGGAGGGAGACTAAGGAAGAAAGAGATCGATGATTTAAAGCCTTCACGTCGGGACAAGAGCTGATGCGTGAGGCACAAAGTTTCCGCGGGGTGGTTCACATCTCACGACAGTTTCCGTTACACAGAAAAACCTCAATATACATTCCGCTCAGGCTCTAATCAGAACAGACAGTTCTTTTACACATGTATGTTACCTCTATGGTACGTCGGAGTCGCTTGAGGAGGAGCGAGAAAAAACTTGTCAGTTCGAATGTAAATATTTTAGACAGGACAAAATTGGTCATAGCAGCAAGTGGGATAATCAGCAAGATGTTCACAAAATAAAAAGAGCTGATTATTGAAAAACACAGAAATGTCGGTAGAAGAAACTAAGTCCCGGAGCCTGGACAAGTTATCATGGGAACAATTTCTTTCCCGTAGAACACGAGAAATGGGTTGGATAAGAAGGTAACGATCAGTTTTGCAGTATATTTTGGGGTAGAAAAGTATAATACAGTGGTCAGAAGTGCTTATCAGAGCTAGTTTAAGAACATGAAACGCATTGGGACTATTTACATATATGCCATCAAGATAAGCGTCAGTTGAAGTGGTTGAAATTTACAAGATTCACTAAACCTAAAGTAGTTAGAAATGAACCATCAAGGCGAGTAAAGTCGCCAGCAGTAATGCACAAAGACTGGTCAACACTAGTGACAAATTGTGTCACTACAGTATCAACACAGAATATATTCTAAGAAAACCAAATAATTCATATATATATATATATATATATATATATTGGAAAACTATCCCGCATTTGTTTACAGTGAATACTGAAAAAAAACGTTGGGAGACAAATGAACTTACTTTTGACTCGGTACATGTCCGGCGTCACTGTTGGGGGAAAAAATGAGCAAACAAGTAAAGAAAGATGATAGAAAATGTTTGCTTTGAAAAAGCTGAATGAAGAACTGTTATTCAGAATGACAGAAAACAGAAGCTGGCCGTACAAAAACTACGAAGAAATGACCACAAAGCTGTACAACTTCAACAGCAGTCTGGATTCAACGGTGCAAACGGGAGAGGAGGAACGATTCCACAAAGCAGCAAACAATGTATTCGTTTTGGTAACCCCTTGCTTATTCTAGAGCTAATTACATAGCCAAATCAACCCACACGTTGGGTTGAAAAGTCTGTGTACGTGTCTTTTCGATGTCTTTTATTCGTGACAAAGTGTTTTCTCAAATCTGGAGCCGAATAGCTTACGAAATCACATGAATATTTAGGTTTCCTTTGTTGTCAAGTAGTGGGTTTTGCCAGCTGTGCGTTTTCTAATCATATATATATGTATATATATAGGGCTTCCTAAGAAGAGACTATTCGAGACGCTTGGTCGTATGGGAGCATTTCGTGAGGTGCTAAGGAGAGGTGACCAGCCGCAACCCTAGACACCCACTCCTCAATCATACTTAGGATTTCGGAGGCATAATCCTAGTGTTGTTGCACAGCAGCTGGTATTCCGAATGGGGCTACAAAAAAGTAACACAACAACTATCTTGAAAATAGGGCTGTGTATCCTATATCTGNACACAAATATTTATACGATTATCCTGTTACGCTTCTTTACACCAAAACATCATGGAGTTACCCTGTCCTACGAAAAAACCGGGTCCCGTAAAATAGACTTATAAGCATACAATTTCTGACCTACAATGGTATTTTTCTAGTGTTTTGATATCAGACAGGTAACGTAAATATGTTTATGAGTGACGTATTCAAATTGCAATTATTTATGAATTTGAGGGGTGGTGGCCCAGTGGTAACCCCATCAAATTATCACCCCGGGGATGTGTGTTTGAATCCCACCACCACCGCATGCCTTTCCCCATTTGTATGGCAACCTTTTGATTGGTCGCTTCCCCTTTCCTGAAAGTTGTATCTTCGTATTTTCAATAAAAGGGAGTAAAGAACAAAAAGAAAAAAGAAAATTAAACTTGGAACTTAACCAAGAAAATGAAAACGGTCCGGAACTAAATAAACGTTACAAGTGATAGCTCTTGAAACGGAACTCCATACGTACACACTCCATCCCAGACTAACAAAGGTTACATAGAACTAAATAGTGAGCATCTGGTCACGTCACACACTGTTCGATGGAGTTCCTTGTGGCCACAACAACATATGCCAAAAAGGATATATGGAACATGTCAAACTGTGTCAAGCGTACGCTGGTGCTTTGCAACTAGACAGCAGTGATGATGCTTCATATCGAACTGTGCTGATTTGTGCCTAAGTAATTTCGTCCCGAAGAGTACGGGCTAGCAAAGCTCAGCTCAGATCGGTAATCGGTCAAGCGTAACCCTGAGCCTGTATGGTTTTTCATGAGCTTTGCTCTGGCCTGATCAGGATCGCAATTGAATAGTGTTCCACTTTTACAAACTGTGGACCATTCCCATACAGATAAAAACCTAGACTATTTGATACACAAAGAAGGAACTTTGCAGTAAATTTCTTTGTGAAAATGAAGCGTAACCTGAAAAGCCGGGAAGCAGTGGACTGCTGTTTTGGTTTGATTGAGTCTCTTTATTCAACTATAATCCATTCAAATTATCCACATGGGAAACGTTTTATATCGAGCCACATAAACCTGGAGACTCAGTCGGTAGACCGATTCTCATTGCTGTTGAGACACAATCAAATTGAAACCACTGTCCTGTGCTTCCTCACTTTTCATGTCACATTTCTTTTTTTTCTCTATCCGTCCTACTTATTCATATAATCAAATCAAATCCTTCGATAGTTTCATATGTGGAATTATTACTTTACATTTTCAGCAATTTGCATGCAAATGTGCAACGCCCGGACGCATTCCAGTTACGGACAAACGTAGAGGAGCATACACTGTGGGTGTTCATGCATACATTCATACACACAAACCAGTTCCAGGGGCATGAAATAAAATATGGAATGCAGGGTACTGAATGTAGCATACCTTCGAGGTTCACATCTTCCAAGTCCACGTTGAAACGATTTTTGACCACCTCGAGCAAATCCTCTTGGATCACATCCAAAGCATCGTGGCTGCATTTTTCCTGCGCCCCCGGTCTAATAACAATCACCTGAGACGGAATATAGATGTTGATTTCCGTCCTGGCATCGTTGCCTATTTGACTTTGACATCCCAGTACATAATCCCTTAGAGGACTTTCCATGGTCGGGATTGCAGCGAACACCTAAAATATGATGCACATTCGTGTACATTCGATCTATGAAGCAGAACAGGTGTTACGTCATCTATGGGCTTCACAACTATTGGTCCGTGTGGAATGAGCGAACAGAGAGATGTGCAACGTTTTCTACAACAGCGGTTATTGAAGCATAAAAAAGCGCGTGGCACCGCGTGTCGGCGGATTTACCTGATCACATGCGGCATCCAATTGAAAGTACAAATCGGAATTTGGCACTGCGTCTCTCCAATAGGTAGTTGGAATATTAACCTTCACGACGTAAACTGAAAAAAAACATGGTTGAGATCTGCTTGAAATAATGCGGTTTGCATAGGCTTGTTTTGTTTACGGCAGAAAATAACAAACACACTGTTCGCTTTGGGCACCGTATAGGCACATTTACGACAGTGAAGAAAATCCATGCAATGAGCTAGTGGTTAAGAATATATCTTACTGTCTACTTGATTTGCACAAGACGGTAAAACGTACAGCTGATTATGCCATGACATTTGCGATTCACCTTTTCATAGTGCATATCATCTGATTCTGCGATATATATAAATTTGTATACACATATATACATAAATGTGTGTTGAAGTCTTATTTCTTCCTTAACTTTTCAGCCAAAAGTTTCACTAGTGTGCCCATATTCTACTGCCCCCGTGCCATATCATCTACTTGTCTAAATAGTATTACGTAATCGATCTACCACTTGATGTTATGATTAAAGTCTCCTTGAACTGGGTATCTTTTCATCAATGTTAATTATTCACCGATCACTGAATTTCAAAGAATCCCTATTATTGTTGTCTATAGATTCCAGATCAACCTAATGCTAGATGCGATTTGTATGTGCATTGATTGCCAACCTTGGTTTCGGGGACGCCTAAGGCTCTGTAAATGGGCTTATCACTGCTATCAATTCCTCCCTTATTGTAGTATACGATCAAAGGTAGTGAATGAGCAGCCATGATTTAGTTTGTGAGATGATCATTCCATATTTTGTGTGGTTTTGCCCGACTTACTCCACAGTTCTACTTTATCAGGCTTTAAATGGCAGCAATTGAATGATTGTGTATGTTTGACATGCAAATCCGTTTGTTGTCAGCAAAGTGTAACTAAATACGGTATCATTAAATAACACTTTTCGGTTATTTGTTCCCGGTGAGCGTGATAATTTTCGTATGCGTTTTGATCATCCCAATCAGTACACGGACCTCATGGACCTCATTGATATTTTCAAAATAAAAAAATGTGCCATGTAACTTAGAAACAGAGGTCACTACAGAATGGATAAAGGATACTGTTGATGGAGTGATATCCTCCATGTTCGATAGTCATCTTGAAACATACCAGTCGCTTCAACTGTATCGTCGGTAGATTCCGCTGAAATGGGATCACAATAAACAGAGAGGTTCACAGACCGTTTAGCTGAATCAAGCTTGCAAAAGACAACTGTTCATTGGTTAGGGTTTGAAGTGTGAACGCGGTACAGCATTGCCGTAAACCAGACAGTATGATACACACAAGTAAAAATCATGAAATTTTCGAGTGATTGCTAGATACCGGAATTCAATTAATGCTAATTAGTTCTCGATTAGAGAAAAATCAAATGTGTAATTTTAAGCCAGGGTGTTGGCTTCTAGAATATTCAAAAGTAGACAAACGTTCCAGTTCACAAGTTTATGACAACTCTTTGCTACGTAGCTTCCAAACTTTATCTGTACAACTAAGACTGGAATACAACCGTAACTTCTCGGGTACTGCTTCCTTGAACTGAATCATCGGGTAAACTGTACAAGGAACATACAATTTTTACTGTGCAGTGCATTCTTGCGCAGTGCAAAACTTTTTCTTGGTGTGTGGGGGAGATAAATAAATTGAAATTAACAAAACGCTAAATAAAAAGTTAGTTTGCTTACACAAGAAAGTGAAAAACGAAAATGAAAATGACACAAACCGAAACGCGGGTGGGGGAACAGATCAAAAGGTAGTTCGTGCGTGTAATGACGCACGAGATTGGCAAGCATGGAACAGCGACAGTTCAAGAACGATAAGGGTGAGTGACGCACAAATGAATGGGACGAGGAACGTTGAGAGGCAGATGTGAACAATAACAACAAAGTACAAAGTATGTCTTCGGACCAAATCGGGGCATAATGATGGGTAGTGTATGTTCCAAGGTCATCTGTGCAATGGGTCACATGGGTGCACAGTTAATCGAACCGAGCCAGAGCAAAATATGTGGGGTAATTAATTTTTCCAATCAACTCAATAAAACACCTAATTGACGGACATTTTTTCTCTCGGTTATTCACCTCACTCAATTCCCTGTTTGCTATGTCTAGCACAAATGAGATGAATGGATGCAATGACATTGGATAAACATGCGAGTTGGAACTGACCATGCTCACAACTCCAGCCCCTCCTCCCCCTTCCTCCCCTAAGGCTTCTTATGCGGTCTGTGCTTGTTGGAGCTGATCGACTGTGTATATTGACCGCCTGGTTCAGAACTCGTACATCAGTTTCTGGATGGGGCCTTCGAAATTCGGCCATGCTACATGTGTTTTTCAGTGGATAATTTATCAACGTTTACTTCACGCATTAGATTTCATTGTTTGAAGCAAAAATTTCTTTCATCACTTTTATCCTTACCGACGCCCCGGAATTTAAAGAATTTGAAACTTTATATGTTATCGCGCAAGACTGGCATTTATCAGTTCAGTAGTCAACTTAAAAATATTAAAAAAATACAAACTGTTTGGGTCGGGTTAGAAAGCACTGAACAGGCTTGTAAGTGGCTTTACTTAATACAAAACCTCAGAAAATGTCTATCCCTGCTTTTTGCTCATCAAACGTACGATCAGTATTTCAAAAAAGTGAGCGACTTCACGGGATTGATAAGAATAAAAATGTACTGTGAATTGGGGATAATTACGCTGCAAGAAATTTGGTTGCATCCTGACATCAACGGCTATCGATTGAACTGGATTTATTTGATATGCACCGGTCGGATAGAAACTGTTTACTACGAAATTGGGCTGGTGGTCTAGTAATCTACACTAATTCGTTTTGGTGTAAGTCTGCAAAGATTATCTTCACCTACAACGTAAGATATATCTCATATATTTCGGTTTTCTTAGTAAATATCGCTCCTTCGTAGCATCAGAAATTTACATAGCACCCTCCGGTACAACTTGTGATGTACAGACGTTTGCTGATTTACTGATATCCGAACTTTCTAACTACATGGAACGCTCTCCTTTTATCAGTAATGATGACTTGAACCAAGCCGATGTTCATTTCATGACTTGTCTCTCTCGTCACAGTCTTGTAAATTTTCCCACAAGAGGAAGCGCGCAGCTTGACTTTGTGTTTTCCTCTGTTTTACTAAAACTTTTCCGAGAGTATATGATTAGTAACATTCTTCTTTACACTGAGCGGTTAGATCACAGTCAGTTCGCTTATCACAAATAACTTTCTACCCTAGACGCCCTTGAGCAACTGGTGAGCTCAGTTTTGCTATCCCTAGACATTCATGGCACAGCATTTCGTGTGTTTCCTCCACTTTAATACTGCTTTTAATTGTGTCGATAGGGGCAGGCCTTTATCTCTATTCCAAGCTGTTGAATTGTCCCATACTACCCTATCACTATTCCGAAATTATTTTGCTAATGAACACAATTCATAGAGTTTCTTGGAAAAACCTCTGACCAGCTACTGCTCAATTCAGGGGAACTCCAGGGAGTAATTCTGTCCCGTTTTCTTTTTATTTCTAAATTCAAGATATACCCACTAACCCAGATGAGCTTCTCATCAACTATGCTGATGATGCCTCCACAGGTTCAAAATTCATAGGTCATTTCCGTTTTTCACAGCTTCAAACCAACGTATCTGCCCTAAACTTGTCCTTAATGCCTCTAAATATAGTGATGTCACCTTCTGGCTAACCAAAAGAGAACGGCTAAATCCTTTGAAAGGAATTGTTCTATACTTCACGTTAACAACCAGCCTGTTCCCCCGGTACATTCTCTGCAATACCTCGGCGTTACTATCTGCCAAGATCTTACCGGGACTTCACACTTAAACTCCGCTTTTAAAATGATTCGACGGTTGTGTTTCTTTATTTCCCTCTTGCGATCTTTAAAAGTTCTACTGGTTTTACTCACCCGATTTATATAATCTTGCGTTATTACTCATCTTCTTTACTGCTCCTCAGTTTTAGGTACCGGTTGTAGGGCGAAGATTGCACAAGTTTAAGCCGGTCTATTAAAATTATTTCTCGTACAAGCGGTATTCCTTATTTACACTTGTTTAACTTTATCGTTGAAAAACATTTTACCCCTTGCGAAAACTTCTGCAACTATATTCTATCAGACACCACACACCCATTACACACAGAACCTTAACAATGCGCATCCACTTCTCTGACCAGATGTCGTTATAAACATTTGTATGCTCATACCACTGCCTACCGTTTGACGGTGATCCCATATATTTTGAGATTTCTGGCACAAAAGGCATTCATTAGAGAAAACCTTTTGAATTTCCTACGCAAACGTTTACTCTACATTCCCCTCCTCGAATTTACGATCCGGTGTTTTACCTTTTCTTTGTGACTGTATGCAATGAGAAATGATCCGGGTGTGCCAGAAGCTAAGAATATATCCATTAGGGTGAATAAAGTAATTTTTGACTTGAATTGATTTGACCACCCACCCACCCCCCACCCCGCCCTATCAAAGGCTAACAAAATTACCAAACAGCTGACTTGAACCATAACACTAACCAAAATTACCAACCCAAGTTTGTTCAGATGTTGTATTCTATTGTGCTGTGATGGCTTGTACAGACAACTGTGCCTACGTTTCAGTCAAAAAGTTTGTTCATCAATAAAATGAGATAAATATGAAAAGTCTTATACAACAATGATGAATCCGTAACTCATGGTGTACCAATTCCTTGAAATTAATCCCCACGCTATT